TTGGCCGATGTGTCTTCTCTTCTCTCGATGAAAGCGAAAGTAAACATGGGGACATGGAATGTCCGCACAATGTTCGGAGTTGGCTGGCAAGGCTGCCCAGGTTGTAAAAGAGATGAGAAGGTATGGCATATAAGTGCTAGGAATCTGCGAAAGTAGATGGAATGGGAGTGGACTCTCCAAACTGTTAACTGGAGAGTCAATAATCTACTCTGATATTGTCAACCATACGACAACCACTAGCACACTGAGTTTTCGAGTGGTTATCATGATGTCCCCTCCCAAGAGCATCGAAGGCTCTCAAACAGTGGGTACCAATCTCCTCCTGCAGGATCACGACAGCAAAGTTCAACTCAAAAGGAAGGAAATTCACAATCATGCAATGCTATGCTGTGCACCTACAAATAATGCAGATGAAGAGGAGAAGGAGGAATTCTACAGACAACTGCAATCAGTAATGGACAAGACAACACCCGAGATGGCGGCATCGAAATTCTAATGCGTGGAGTGACATAAATACGGAACTGGGAGCAGAAAACGCAGGAAGAGAACCAATCATGGGTTGAGAAGCACTCGGTGAAATGAGGAATGAGAATGGAGAACTGTTTTGAGACTTCTGCGCATTCAACGATTTGGTGGTTGGAGGCACTGTGTTCGAGCTCTAGGATATCCATGAAGCGACACAGATTTGGTTTCACCAGATGGACACACTAAAAATCAAATCGACTTCATCTGAATGTGAAGAAAGTGTAGACGCAGCTTACTAGACACAAGATCAGATCAAGAAGGGGAGCAGTTGTAGGTTTAGACCACCGTCTAGTGCAAGTAACCTAACAAATCAAGTTGGAAACCTTCAAGGAAGTTGGTGATAGACCATGGTTCAAGTTCGACACCCAGAAACTGAAGGATGAAACTAGAAAAGAAATCTTCACGTCAGCCATTAGGACAAAATGAGAGATATCAAGCAACATCCCTGAAGGATCGGGCGTGAAAGAACACTGGAACTCTTTGAAAGCTATGTGAAAAGAAACCTAAATAACCGTATTGGGAAGGAAGAAGAAAGAAGATAAGGAATGGATGTCGATGGACACATGGAAGCTGATAGAGCAGGGAGAGGAAGATGGTGATGATGAAGCAGAAGATAAACCAGTGCAAGGATGAACAACGAGAAGAGGAACTGAGTACAATGTATAACACAACACTGGACAAAGAAGTGAAGAAGAGTTTACGCAAAAACAAAAGACACTTCTGCGACACACTGGCAAGTGAAGTTGAACAGCCTGCTGGTAGAAGAGACCTGACAACATTATATCAAATAACCAAGTTACTATCTGGGAAGAGATCAACACAGATGAAACAAATGAAAGATGATGGAGGAAACATAATTATCAAAGAAGATAAACAAAGGAAACAATAGACTGACCACTTTAGTAGACTCTTGAATTGACCACCACCTGCAACTCGTCTATAAATACCACCAGCAACGGCAGAAGTCCTGAATGCCATAAAATTGCTGAAATGCGGGAAAGCAGCAGGACTAGATGGAATTCCACCAGAAGCACTGAAAACAGACACAGAGACAACAGCGGGCATTAACACACCACTACTCCTGAAGGTTTGCAGGGAAGGAAGGAAAGGTACCAGCCAATCGATTGGAAGAACGGCTACCTCGTCAAACTTCCAAAGAAGGGAGACCTAAGTCTTTGCAAGAACTGGCGAGGAATCATGCTCCACTCCAGTCCACCTCAAGCAAAATATTACGTCACATTATCCTGGAGAGACTAAAGGATGCGCTGGATTCAAAACTACGACCGGAACAGGCTGGCAGGCTGGATTCAGGAAGTAAAAATCATGTGTGGACCAAATTGCAATGCTACGCTACGCATCATCATAGAGCAGAGCATAGAATGGCAGTCAACTCAACTCTACCTCAACTTCATCGACTTTGAAAAGGACTTCGATCTAGGCGTCGACCGACAAGTAATTTGGGAACTGCTTCAACACTACGGTTTTAGTGACACGAACTTTTATCAACCTCATTCAATAACTATATGAAGACGCCATATGCCAAGTAATTCACAATGGGAAGCTCAGTAACGCCTTTGAAGTGAAGATAGGAGTAAAACAAGGCTGTCTACTATCACCTATGTTATTCCTGATTGTGGTCGACTGGATCATGCAACAAACAGTGAGGAGCGAGAAGAGGGGAATACGCTGGACCGGGAAAAGATCCTAGAAGGTTTGGATTCCGCCGATGCCTTGTGTCTAACGTTGCACAAACTGAAAGATCTACAGGCATAAACTAACAGGTTGACAGAAGAGACGGCGATTATGGGAATTCAAATGAAGAGAAAGAATACAGAGGTGATGAAGACACCCAACCAACGCCACCACCAACAACAACAAGCTCCAATCACCATCAACAGGAGAAACTTGAAGGAAGTATCCTCTTTCACCTATCTAGGCAGCACTGTTTCAACTACACGCAGTGGTGGCACAGACGAGGACGTCAAAGTCAGGATCGGAAAGACAGTAAGACAGGCGTTCATTAACCTGCAACCAGTGTGGATATCTTCTGCACTCAGCATATGGAACAAGATGCGGATTGTCAACACTAATGTCAGTCAAGTAATTCAGTGCTTCTATGTGATGGTTGAGAGACTTGGTGGTGCGTTACGAAAAGCATTTCCAACAAACTACAGATATTCATCAACAACTGCCTACGCTGGCTCGTTACTGAAGATCAGATGGCCGAAATAATAAGAATAAGCAACAAGGAACTCACTGTGGCTGGCTGTTAACGAACCAACGAAGCAAGAACCTATCACCCAACAAATATGCAGAAGAAAGTGAACATGGATTGGATGGGGGACACACTGAGAAGACCATTCGGGGACATCACTCGCCAGGAACTCAATTAAAACCCATATGGGAAATGGCAAGTTGGGCGTCTGAGTCGAGGGTGACATGGAGGAGATCGTGTGAGGAAGAAATGAGAGCTTCTGGGCTGTCTTGGAGCCAAGTTGAAAAGACTACAGAGAACAAAGTGGAATGGAGGTGTGCTACTGAATCACTATGTTCCACTAGAAACCCAAGGGGCAAATAATAATATCATTAAAATAAATGCCATCGACAAGTAGTACTGTAAACAACCGACTTGGTTGACTTCACACTTCAGGGCTTCTAACTAGAGTTTCAAGAAATCTGTCCCGAAACATATCAATAATCAACGTCGGGTTACTCAATTTGATGGTTTTCAAAGGGGCTTTAACCACACTTTTCATTGGTTCTTGAACTGATATATATATCCATGATGAAAATTACCTAAATAGAGAAGATATTCTTACGTTTGTTTGCATTTTCAAGTACATAGTCCGATCAATGCTTAAATTAGTTTGAACATCTGGTGTTTGATATATGTACCATATTCTAAAGGCACTGGTTTGGCTTTTGCCAACTCCATCAGTAGCATCGGCGAGAAGTCTGATTGTCTATTAGGAACCTAGTTTCCTGCGCATCTGTTTGCTCTTTCCTAATATAGGAATTTGAATCATAGTCGTTTAATGTAGTGGAAAGTTAGTGGGAAACTTTCAGGTATTCGACCATTTTGTTTTTCGTAGCACAGTTCATGTTTTGTGGAACCAACTCTTCAGTAACGCAAACGTTAGGTGTAGGAGTTTAGGTAAAAGTGGTAAGTCAGTTGATAAGGTTATTAACCATTATCTGAAGCAGCTGGGAAATTTGTTGCATATACCTAATTAACATATGTCTCGTCTCGCAATATTAGCTGAATTTGTTTTCGCCTGGTTAAAGATTAAGGGTGTTTGGAACAGAAAATGGCCCCAGTTCATATATTTGACTGTCGTTCTGACCCGTCTGGGGGAAATGTAGACTTTCTCATTAGGTCCGCTTGAGAACGGAGGTCGGTGGTTGGTGACTCTACACGATCAGTTGTTTTACGTCTTGTCTCTCTTAGTCTTCTCTTCTTATGCATTTTTACAACTTTGACTATATTTTTGTTCCTGTTTTTACATCTTTTATCTTGCCATATATTTTGATGTGTTGATATGAGGTATGACTACTTAAAGCGTTTCTAAGTAAGTAATGTTCAGGTTTCTTGTTGATATTGACTGACTGACCATTCCTTACATTGTGTTTGCTTCAACATTTCACGTTGATTGCCTTCAAGCAAGGATAATAAACATCCAAAACTCCCCTTGAGAATGCAACAGTTTCACATGTCTGTGAAGCTAATGCTAAAAATGCTTTTTGACGTATTGAAGCCGAACATCCGCCTCCTCTAATTATCTGAATCAATCGTTTGAGTGTGCCAACTTTTAAATGTTAAAACAGACCTATCTTACCTGAGTGTGCTCGATAACTCTGTAAGGTTGATCGCTGTTGTCTGAAAGATCTTTCGCATAGGATACCTACATCATGTGAGTTATTCTGAGATCATTTAACGCCCATTCCAGTATAGTGGAGATAGTCATTTTTGAGTGAAGATGTAGTGAGGTACAAATGTCATTCCAGTAACGTATATACCGTTGACTATTTGCTCACCCACAGATCAGATGGAAGAAGCCGATTGACGATCAGTGCTCGATGTGTTACCGTGAGATGAATAGTAGTTGTATCGAAAGGGATAGGACTGTATGGACGGGGTTTGAGGCAAGATGTGTCTATACTGTGTTTACAATTAAAATATTTTAAAAATAACTGTTTTTAGTAGTGTTCTATTCTCTAAGTTGCGCGGTTTAATCGTAAAAGTTTCATTGTCATTCTAAACAAAATTATTAGTACAAATTTCAGAAAGAAAACTTTTTTTTCAGGAAACATAACGCTACCAAACTCATCCTCGTGAGCTACAAATATTCTCCATCATCTCCAAAAATAACTATTTGATTTTTATTTATACTGATACCTGTTTAATTTGTAATACTAACACACTAATTTTTCCATTCCATCCCCAAATACACACATGCTCATATTGAATTTTTTAGCTTCAAGCACCGATATACCAGATGATTATACTGCACCGAATACCACTGGTTCCCCTTCTCCTGCACCATTACCAGTTAGTCAAGGCGTAATAAATACACCTAATAGTCATCGTATTGCAACATCTTGTGCAAATATGAATATTCCTGGTAGTCAACACCATCATCATCACCTTGGGAAATCAACATTTATACCACCGAGCTCACTTTCAAATAAACCTAACCTAATTGAAGATAAGAAAAATTTACATCACACTGAAGTCTTAGTATCAATTAGTAAGTCATCTCCAGATTATGACAATGCCTCACGTTCATCTTCTTCATCAGCATCAGTAAAAACAAATTCACTATGTGAACCATCCTTTCAACATCATATTGGAAAGTCTTCAACTAGAAAATATACTGGTGCAGTTGCTGGTATTGATCGGATATGGAAAGCTCCAAGCTCTGAACGTGTTGTTCGATGTGTTGAAACAATCATTATGCGTATTCGTAATCTAGTAGAGGTGAGAAGTTTTGACTTCATGTATTCATACTGTTCAATTAACTTTTTGCCGTGGTCAACTTACAGATGTTCCACTATTCAATTTTAACTTTTTCCTCTATGCGGATTTCTCATAAGTAGTACTATGAATGTAGGCACCGAAAGAAATTAATTATTTAGTGAATACAAGTTAAGCCTTACTGTGTAACAGCTTACAACTGAGCTTAATCCTTAGAAGCAATTTTGATATTTACACTGAATACCATCAATTACTAACAGGTAGAGAAAATGACAAATAACTTCCCTTTCTTGGTTGCACTGTACTCTCTGAGCTGAGTTGTTCAGTCGTGGAGCTTTCATCCTCTTCCTAGACAAATTCTCTCCAAACACTGTTATGCAGACAAAAGGATGCAACAACCAAAGAAGATAAACCGAATATCATTTACAAAATCAACTACAATAATTGTAGTCAACACTACATTGAACAAAGTGGTCACCCTCTTCACCTTCGTCAATTACATGAACACCAATCGACTATTAAACATCATATACGACATTTCATCACTCATTTCAATGCACATGGATAACAACTATGGACATGAATTGAATTTCGACAATGTAGAAATGTTGGAGGGAGAGAGGAAACACAAAGAAGAATATCAGAGAATTCCTAGGAGCTTGGCATTCAGGTCAGTCAGCCAGCCAGCCAGTCAGTCAGTTAGTCAACAATCAATAGATGTGTAGACATGGAACGAATCTATCAAGCAATGAGAGGAATGATAAACGATGGAAAGGTCAGAGGTGAAGTAGAGGAACAGCCAACAAGAATATCTATATGGTAAATGATACAACAATCAAAGGGAACAGTCAATCACAATGCAATTGGTCGGGGCAAGCTAGTGAATCATTCAAGGAGAGATATTGACGGCTCACTTCATAGTGAAGTTAGTGCTGATGATGTCGTCTAGCAAGACGATGAAAGTTTCACGATTAAACAACCCAGCTTGAGAGAACACAATACAACGAAGACCATCTACCTGAGCTACAAATATTCTTCACCATTTCGACTTCCATTTCAACCAATTAAGAATGTATACGCTAGGAACTTTTCAAGGAAAAGAAGAACTAACCAGTTAAAAAATGATCTAAATTGAAATCATTTGAAATTATGAATCCTGGTCAAGATTTAACCGGATAGTTTCACAAATATTGGGCACCCAGTGAAAATTTAATATTACATACAAGTTATATTTGAAAAATTTCAGGATGTTTGAAATACGAAATTCCAATGTTTCTCATAGAAGTGTGGTCCGAGATTCATCAGAGAAATAATCAAATAAACAGTATCACAAATATATGTAACAGATCAAAAATCGTGTATATCATCTCATTGTCCAATCATCTCTGGATTATGCAGGAAAGAGAAGATATGGTTCATTTATTTCAGTTTAATATTTAAGGAGACTTGAAACATTTTAAGATCTAGTGAAAATTTAAGTTGTGACAATTTTCTGCTTGTTTTATTGTCTTTCCCGCTCAAAACTTCATCCTGATAAAGCTTCAGATATTAATTTAGACGTTTGTTTATTTTCAGTAGAACTTCATAACAGATTGGATTTAAAATTGTAGACGAAATTTCTAGATAATTAGATCACTTGGGTAACTTTAATAAATGATCTTAATGATACTTGAAATCAGCTATCATTACTGTATGAAGGAGAGAAAAGTCAAACCGTTAATCAAATTTAATTCCGTAGAGAAAGGTGTTTATCTTCTAATCGATCAGTACAAACATAAACTGTGAGCAATACAGATAAGTAACCAAAGTGTAGCTTAGTTTACTGTTCCATGAGTTGTCTATTATCTGTAGAGGTTAACAATGTAATAGTAATAAGTGGAGAGAAATTTGGGCTTGTAATCTAATAGCTAAAGTTTGAATAACGACAACAATCAGCTGTATTTCCAGAATGCAAATCACAACTTTATCTGAGGATAATACAATATAGTGTAGCTGTGACCCCATTGGTTAAAGAAGTTGGCTTTCAAATAATGGGTCATAGATTCGAATCTCTCCACCTACCTAGATTTGGACAACAAGGTAATATCATTTACCAGTGCAAAATAGGTATGGATCATTTTCTACTACACGAATATACACATGATTTCTGAGTATATTTCTACTTTTTTTTCTAACTTTATTCCAGACAATGTGTCTGATACATAGCATGTTAATAATGATAACAATAACAATAGTATTACAAGCAATAAGATGTAACGATCGGTTGTTGTTAGGTTATCATCTAATCTGTGAGTACATGTGCTTCAGGGGAGAACGAACAGAATAGCATGCAAATAATTGAGAATATTTGTAGCTCAGGTAGATGGTCTTCGTTGTATTGTGTTCTCTCAAGCTGGGTTGTTTAATCGTGAAACTTTCATCGTCTTGCTAGACGACATCATCAGCACTAACTTCACTATGAAGTGAGCCGTCAATATCTCTCCTTGAATGATTCACTAGCTTGCCACGACCAATTGCATTGTGATTGACTGTTCCCTTTGATTGTTGTATCATTTACCATATAGATATTCTTGTTGGCTGTTCCTCTACTTCACCTCTGACCTTTCCATCGTTTATCATTCCTCTCATTGCTTGATAGATTCGTTCCATGTCTACACATCTATTGATTGTTGACTAACTGACTGACTGGCTGGCTGGCTGACTGACCTGAATGCCAAGCTCCTAGGAATTCTCTGATATTCTTCTTTGTGTTTCCTCTCTCCCTCCAACATTTCTACATTGTCGAAATTCAATTCATGTCCATAGTTGTTATCCATGTGCATTGAAATGAGTGATGAAATGTCGTATATGATGTTTAATAGTCGATTGGTGTTCATGTAATTGACGAAGGTGAAGAGGGTGACCACTTTGTTCAATGTAGTGTTGACTACAATTATTGTAGTTGATTTTGTAAATGATATTCGGTTTATCTTCTTTGGTTGTTGCATCCTTTTGTCTGCATAATAGTGTTTTCGCAGGGAATTTGTTGGTTTATGAGTCGCACCAATTCCAAGTGGTCTCGGTAATCTTGTCGGGATTTCTGATATATTCTTTACGTACAGTAGTATGATTCATTTGTTGATTTCTGTCGACGACTTTGTAGTTGGTGATGTACAGGATAGGCATCTTGTTATAAAGTTTCGTGGGTAGCTGTTCTTCTTTAGGATGGACATCAAGTAATTTTCTTCGTTTCTGCGTTTAGTTGTTGTACTGCAGTGTGTTTTCGCTCTTTTGAATGAAGTTTGCACGCAACTGATTTTGTTCGTTGTTGTGTTGTTGCTACTGTAATTGAGGGTTTGATCAGTGTTTGTTGGCCTCCTGGATATTTGCGTTCCCAGCTTCCGGCATTTGTCCTACTGACAAAAACATCCAGGAATAGTAGTTGGTTGTTTGATGTCGTCGAGAAAGACGATGAAAACTTCGCGATTAAACAACCCAGCTCAGAGAACACAAGACAACTAAGAATAGCTTGCATAAGTTTGGTGATTCATTTGACTAACATGAAAGTCTGCAGGTCGACGTTACTACTTTAAGAATAGTTATGTATTTTTGTGCACATAGGGTCCCATTAACATCCACTATGAAGTTTTTTCTAGACTTTATTGATAACTGGAAAAACAGCAGGTTAAAAACGTTTAAGAATTACACAATAGTACATAATACCTTGTGAAGGCACATTTGAATGATAAGAACAAGTTCAGAGGATAGTGTTATGATGTAATTTATTCGGTGGAAAATTTTCGGTCACTGAAGGTGTAAGCAAGTTGTCACGGAATGAAGGTCTACAGTGTATTTATTTTAAAATAGGTTGTATCTGTTCGCATAAATCTTATAGCTTTTCTGCTACAAATTAGTAATGAAATTGATTTTGTGCCGGAATTCATCATGGACTGAACCATTGGAAGCCAAGGAGCACTATGCAGCTGTTTCTTCCTAGTGTAGGACTCCTCAGCATTGCGCACCCATGGTCCCGCCGGAGATCGAACCCAAGACCTTCGGGCTCGTGACCGGCACGTTACCATTGATCCACTGGGTCTAAATCCAACTTAAAATCAATTACTAAATCTCTACAAACCTCCGGATAGAATTAATCTAGCACTCATTGGCGACTAGCTTCGAGAGGTGATTCCCGAAGTCCCAATGAGATGTGACCGGTAGAGTCAACCAGTTACTAAAAGGAGACATTAGACGTGAGTCGTGCTATATCGTGAACTGACGGAAGTTGGAAATATGGACTGTTTGGTTCAATGGTAATATCCTGGTCACGGAACCTGAAGGTCTTGGGTTCGACCCCTATCAGTGTGGGGTTACGGGTGCTCACTGCTGAAGAGTCTCATACTAGTGGGACGAAACAGCTTTCGAATACCATTAGCTTTCTAATGTTCCTGAAACTGATGTCAGTTCATGATGAATTCCAACCTAAAATCAACTATACTTCATCCTTTTTGATAAGCACCTCTTGTGGAACAGATATTATGTGGTACATTCTTATAGATCAGTTCAGCGGAATGTAGAAAACTTTACAGTAGGTTGCTTAAAATGCATACAGATTCAATGTTTACCTTTCGTTACGTCGATTGTATTTATTCAACTGCATCATACGTCATTTTTCTTGTCATTTAGCTTGCTAACGGTGATCGTCGGGGTAATAGTGCCCAGTGTTCACGTTTAATTCAATCAGCTGTTCAAGAATTATTAAATTTATTTCCTAAACAAGAATCTAGACCAACTGAAGTAGAAAATGCTTTAAATGATTTGGCCACAGAATCATATAACTTACGACAACATTGTGAAAAAATTGTCTCTACATTTGATAGTTCTGATAGATTTGAAATAATGACTCCAATACAAACATCAAAATCCAGTAACAATAATCTACCAATTCCACCAGAAATTACAATCTTAATTCGTCATGCTCATCATATTGCTAGAGCTGCCAAAGATTTATTATCTCTTTTTCAACGAATGGATCAGTGAGGATAACAATTAATTTCTCATCATATTGGCTATTTATGTGTCATATTTGTTTATCATTTTGAATTCACCGCCTAGTTGCCATTGTTTTATTGAACTGATGTAAACACTCGCTAACCAATCAAAATGAGGCGGGTATTTTAAGTTGTATTTCAAAATGTCTGATCAAATTATGTACATGAAATATTTAAATCTGTAATATTATTTAATTTCTTTTTCTTGTTTTCCTCCTTTATATAACTTTCATTTCTGGTGATCTATTCGTTTTTATGTGAATACCACTTTGTTGACTTCATCCGGATTTACTTTCATGTTAATCTGCTTACTTTAATTTTTTTTTGGAATATTTGTCTCATTGCTGTTTTTATTAGTTATAATTCGTGTCTCTTGGTGAATTTCTCTTTCTTTCTCTGTATATTTACTTGTTCAAACTTCGACTATGAATTGTGCTACTTTTGATTGATGTAATTAATATCTGAGAATTTTCCTGTCTAAACGGTTGCTGTAGGATAAAAGTGGTATATATTCTTTCAGTATCCTATGCGAACAACAATAATGAAACATAATTATTTCTGTCTATAGGATTTTGTTTTTGGCTTCCAGAGAATGTTTGATATGAGATTAAACATTTTGCACACTGGAAAATATTTCAGTGAGTTATATTTATTTAGAAGGAATGTGATAAATAACTTTAAAGGCATTATGAATATTAACTTGATGGCCTGTATCAATCAGATGCGAGAGTATTGAGCTTCGTTTCGATCTGGTTTGCCCCTTATTTAGTCATGAAGGATGATACTTGGCAATTCAACAATGAACTTGCCTAACTGTACACCCAATGTAACTAACCCAACAGAAGCAGTTGAACTGGTAAATGCACATAGGAAAGAAGTCAGGTAGTCTGTCTTTGGTTCTAGTGGTCATCATCGGCCGACTGTAGAATAGACAGCATAACTTTGCGGCATTAAATGATCTTCTTGTGGCATTTCTTAGGCACTGTGTCACAATTCCGCCGATGTCATCTCGAAATTGTAGTCTTAGGAACAACGGTTGCTTGGAAACCGTCGATACTTTGGTTTCCATATTAGACGTGTCCACATTTTTAGCCAGGAACGTTTCTGGACATCCATTACTACTGCGTAGATCATGGATAATTTGAAGTTCTTGATCAAAAGTACAGAACATATGAATCAAACTCTTGATTAAATTTCGCTTATATTTCAAAGGACGAGACTCAAGATGTGGATGTATTGACCTGTTGAGGTTGGTTTCTGATATACACTCCTTTTTACAGTTTCATCCGCCTTCCTTGTCAATCGGACATCTAAGAAGGTGATGCTATCGTCACTTTCTCTCTCAATGGTGAAGGTTATCGCTGGGTGGAAGCTATTAAATTTATCCAGTATAATCCTTGCATCGTTCTCATTATTCACAATGAAGAATGTACCAACTGCTCCTGTGGAGCTAGTTACATTGGAAGTACAGTTAGGCTAGTCCGTCGTCAAATCGCCTAGCATCATCCTTCATGGCTAAGTTAGGAGCAAGCCAAACTGATACAAAGCTCATTTATCTTTTTATTTGATGATGAAGAGGATGAGTGTACAGTGAACGATTGAAGATAGATTATGGTTTATGCGAATTTCTCCACGCAAGTCATCAATTTGTCAATTTTTACTTGGTTAAACTAGTGAAAGATGTTGATGTTTATTGTGAAAATGCAACAATCTGAACGAAGAATATTCTTCTCAACAAAAATATTCTCATAAGGATCTAAAATCATAAAATCCATTTGTACACCATAAAATCAAGCGAAGTTAGGAGTAATTACATTTTCAAAATAGAGTGAGATTTGAGGAATAAAGTAAAACGATTTTTCTTTTCTAAATTTATCAATATTGGGATGGTACATATGCAGCTGAGTGGCGTAATAGTGAACGGAAAGACAATTAATGAGGAACATAGGAGTGGCCTTCAGTTTATTGAAAGGCAAAGGAGAAATAATGCTAGAATATGTTCCTTCTGAATGCACAGTTCAGGTTTGTCCAGTCCTATTGCAACAGCCTTAACTATGTTGGCTAGCTACACGGTGTGTGATATTGGAAGCTTTATTAACATCTATGTGGTATTCTGTGTCTAATAGGTCCTCTAGGATGGAACTTTTCCGAACCAAGTCGGTGAATGTTCTTGTATGTGGTGACGCACCTGCCTAATTATGCACTATGTGATTAAATTGATATATACAGCATGAAGAATTAAGATTAGGTAGGTTATCCTTTAGTCTCGGATTGAGTATTGATCTATTACTGAATAATATGCAACGACGACCAGCATAAGACGACGTTCTATTGGCTGCTGTATCTAGGAGTTACGATATGATGTCACTTGAACTGTCTCCCTTCAATTACAGTCACATAAACAAAGGCTTCTGCACCATTGTCATCAGTTTTCGTTTTCTATCAATGCAATGGATGTTAGCTTTGACGAAATGATCCGGATATCCGTCCTCACTTAAAATATCACGGATAAACAGTATTTCTTTTTCCACACACTCCCTGGAACAAATCGTTTGTACTGCATCGACTCAAAGCTAAGAAAGTGTATATACTGTATCTTAGTCGTCGGTTTTCTATGTATTCTCAGCAAAGAGCAATCTTATCTTGTCATTAGCACATCAAGAAAATGTATCGAATCACTGATATTTCTATATAAAAAATGAACTGATGGAGCACTGTTGAAATGGGTTAGAATAGAGTTAATGCATAGGCACTTATCCAGGACTAAAAAAGTACCATTCATATATCGACAGTACAACTTCACATTGCCCATTTGACACTTCAAGGAACCAAACATATGCTTACAAATAATGGGCCGAATTTTATTCATTATTTGTCCCTTGGACTCCTAGTCGAACATACGCCTTCAGTAGCACGTCACCATATCACGCTCTTCTCTGCAGTCCTCTTAACCTGGCTACATCACTGCCCACCACCTTTCATTTCTTCCTCACACCATCTCCTACATGTCACCGATGCATCGGACACCCAACTCGTCGTTTTCCTTTGGCTTGATGGCCTAGTCTGACACGTGATGTCCCCAAACCCTCTTCACACTGTATATCCAGTCCAACCCAATCCATCTCCACTATCTTCTCATTCATATTTTTTGGACGATGGGTTGTTGGTCGGTTCGTCGCCATGCCAGAGTTTCTCATTGCCTATTCTTATTATTCTGGCCATCTGATCTGATCTTCAGTATAGAGTACGAGAGTGTAGGCGGCAGCTGTTGATGTGATGTATGTGTGCAGGTCGCTGGAAATACTTTACGTAACGCGCTGCCAAGTCTCTCAACCATCACATAGAAGCACTGACTTATTTGACTGATACTAGTAGTGTTGAAAGTCCGGATGTTGTTCACGCTTTACGGTTAGTGGAGTGGAGTACAGTAGATCTTCACACTGGTTTCAGGTTAACGAGGGCCCGTCTTGCTTTTCCGATCCTAGTTTTGACGTCGTCATCTGTGCCGTCACCTGTAGCTGAAACGATGCTGCCTAGGTAGATGAAAGAGGCTACTCCCTTCATGTTTCTCCCATTGATAGTGATTGGTGCTTGTCGTTGTTGTTGGTTGAATGCCTTCATCACCTCCGTCTTCTCTACATTCACTTGAAGTCCCGTCTTCCTTCGCTGCCTCTTCTGTCAACTTGTTGATTTTTGCCTGTAGACCTTCGAGTTTGTGCGACAAGACATTGGCATAAATCATCATCGTTGGCGAAATCCAAATCTTCTTCTGGGGTCTTTTCATCGGTCCAGCCAGCATATGCCCATCTTCTTGCTCGCTCCTCACGGTTCGTTGCATGATCGAGTCGACTACAATCAGGAAGGTGATCGGCGATAGTAGGCGGCAACCTTATCTTACCTCTATCCTCACTTTGAAGGCGTCACTGAGCTTTCCATTGTGAATTCCTTGGCATGTAGCATCATATAGCATAGTATCTAACTGTTGAATGAGGTTGATAAAAGTTTGTGGTTCTAAAAGCGTAGTATCTACGCAGCTGCCTGTCAAATTACTTCCCGGTCAACGTTATCAAAAGCCTTTTCAAAGTCGATGAAGTTGAGGAAAAGAGCTGGACCCAATGGAGATCCCATAACCACGACGTCAAATTGTCTGTACAAATTACTGGTAAAGATGATGCAACATCAGGTTCAAACTGATTTTGGATATTTATTTTGATCCCCACAACCCCAGCCATTATCAGTTCATACACAAGTGAAACAAATGAGAAACTAAATACGTTTATTTCACTTTTCCATTTATGGTTATACTGATTTAACCCGTGGATAAGACATCCACAGTGCATTCTTATGGAGTCAAATTAAAAATGTCTTGGAGGTTTGAAAACACCCAAACGTTGTATTTAAAAGTATGGTTATTAAAAAAAGACATTGATTGTACGGCATTTCGAAATTTTCAATTAAAAACTCTATTAATAAGCCGTTAGTCACTGTTCTGAGGCTCAGTTCACTCACCGAAATTTTTGCTCTCGGTTCATATCATTATTCCTTACAAAAAATCTGTGATTCATATCCTATCAAATGATTCTGCGTTTATTTTCTTAGTTGAGAAGATCTGCTGCTTCTGCCTTCCAGGTATTGTAATCATTTAAAATGATGGAAGGATTATTTACCGAAATCAAGTTATGACAAGAGGCTGTATATGTATTTCTTTTAGAAAAAGGAAGATGTTTATTGCAATTTGGTATGGCATTTGAAAGGTTTTTTACCTCTAGCTTACTCAAAAAAGCATTGTCATACCTCTGAAATATAATGAGTGACAATTCGGTTGTCATTGGTTTAAAGTAGCACATGA